GAGCGGGGGGAATGGGGGGGCGGTGATCCCTGGCTGGTGTTAACGAGGCCCAGGACAGGTGGAGAAGCTGGGAGGGCCAGACGCCAGCCAGAAGCGGGCACATCACACCCTCCAGCCTGGGGCTGAGTGGGCACCCCAAGCCTGCAAGGCCAAACCAGTAACCTCCCCACTAAGTGAGTGAAGACCAGAGAGGCTGACTGGCTCCCCGGAGGCCCTACGTGGGGCCGAGCAGCTGTTAGATCACAAAGCCTATTCCCCTGGGCTGGGCTCAGGAAGCAACCCTCTTCCACATCCAACACTGCGTTCCAGTCTTGCTCAAAGTTCCTTTGTTTACCAGCCATTTCTCTCCATTTCCCCAGCCACCACTTTGTCCCACACCACCATCATGACTCACCCAGACAGCTGTGGAGTCGCCCTCTCCCTGAGTCCCCCCTTCCGGTGTTGCTTTCCTGAAATGCTTTCCCCACTCTGCACCCTGGGTGATCTGTCCTCGGGGCAAAATCAATCATGACCCCCGCCCCCAGAAGCCTTTGGTGCCCTCGGTGGGGAGGGCCAGCCCCTCACCACAAGCTAGGTCCTCTCCCCTGACCCGCCGCCCCCCCCCCCCCCCCCCACAAAACTGCAGCCACAGTGATCTCCCTCCAGTCCCTCCAATACACTGGGCTAACATCTACCTCGGCCCCCACCCAGGTGGTCGGTGCCACCTGGAAATTGCTCCTCTTCCTCCCTTTCTCCAGTTCACTGGTTCTTAAACTGTGGTCCCTGGATCAGCAGCAGTAGCGGCAGCTGGGGACTTGTTAGAAACGCAGTCTGAAGTTGCGATGTTAAGACCATGCCTAAGTGGCCAGGCTTGGTCCTTCCCCAGGTCTGGTTTGATAAATGCTGGTGATAGACCAAGTCTGATTTATATCCTGCCCCTTCTGTGGGAAGTGCCTGGGATTCTAGGGATCTGATCAACCTCAAGAAATGATAGCACATTCAGCGTCATAGCTTTTGAAGATGACTGTTGTTAATTTGCCATTAAGTGAATTATAAAACTGGGAAAAGAAATGTAGTTTCTTTCCATGATGTATATGTACAGCAAGGCATCGTGTTGGACATGTTAAATATATATAATTATATTTGTCAATTGTTCTTCTGCAAATTTGGGGGAGAAAAAGAAAGTTTCCCGGGCCCCACGCCAGATGAGCTGAGTCAGAGACAAGATGGTCCAACAACCTGTATTTTAACAGACCCTTCCGATAATGCTGATGCACGCTCCAAATTTAAGATCCGCTGGTCTAGTGAATTCTTGCTGTCCTTCAGAGTATAGAGTTAGACCCCAGCTCCAATGCCACTTCCTCCAGGAAGCCCTCCTTGACCTGCAGGCCAGGGCTTCATGGCACACATTGCTTCTATGTTAGAGCCATTCTCACCACCAAAACCACATCGTCAGCTGTGTAACCCACGGAAAGTTCTTCTCTTCCACTAGAACATGTACTCCATGGGCCCAGGGAACCTGTTCTCTTTTGCTGATCTGCCCCCAGCACCGAGAACTGTGTCTGGCACTTAGGAAGTGCTCAGCCAATGCAGGTCGAGTGACCACATAAGCAAGCCCTGTTCTTCCAGTCCTTCCCGCAGCAAACACCTAGATTTACTGTGAGCCTGGACAGGGCCAGGGGCTGAAACAGGAAAAAGAGACAACCCCCACCTTCAAGGACCTACAAGAGGAAAAAACACGGATGGAGACAAATGGATTGAGCTGGGTCTTTAAGGAGGGATAGTGAGTTGCCTGGCAGAGAAGTCAGGGAAAGGAAGGGTAGAAGGAAGGGCATTTGCATGGGATAGTGCAGGCTGCAGAGGCTGGAGAGTCATGCTGGGACCCAGTGACGGAATGTCACTGGTTGGGTCCCATCTTTTATTGTATTGTCTGCCACCGAGGAGCCACTGAATATTTTCAAGCAGGCAAGTTGCCCGATTTCATTTTATTAATCCCTCTGTGATACAGTTTGGGAAACCAAAAAGGGTGGGTTCAATCATTCATTTATTCCCACCGAAGAATATATGGAGGGTGTGGCCTTGTCCAGGGCACTGGGGTGCACTGGTTGGCAGAACAGATGTGTCCTGGGGACTGGCAGCCTGTCCCAGGCACGCTACCTTTAGCCTCCGTCCCATAAACTGGAGGTCCTGGCCACTATCAATACCGTCATTCTCTCCCTCAATACCATCCTGGGCCCCTCCCTGCAGCCCCCTGGGACCACTGAGGCACCTCCCCCCCCCAGCTCCTGGTTCTCGGGTTTCTGGGGGATGAGTTCTGAGCGGTTCTTCCTGGGGAGGGAGGCAGCCAGCAGGCTCTGTAGGGGACAATGGTTGCCTTTGTTGCTTCTGCCAGAGCCTCTCCAAGAATAGCTGTTTGCTCAGCTCAGAGCAGGGCTGGTGCTGGGGTAGGAGGGTGTGGGGCCCAGGCGCTAACTCCCGGAGCCTCTGGGGTCTCCCATAGCTTCTCACCAGCCCAGAGGAACGAAGGAAGCAGGAGGCATCACTTAAAGCAGCTATGGTCAGTGTCCCGCCCTAAAACGCATCCTGTCTATGAGTTTAGAAAGCATTCTTTTTCCTAAATAGAACTGTATGCAGAAACCCAATATGTGAAACCAGGTGACATCAGTGACTCTGCTTAAAGGAGAGTGGGGACACAGCCAAGAGATCCCCAGCTTTTCCGTGCCTCCCTCCTCACCCCTTTGCCCAGGGCTTGCCCCCTCTGCGCTGCCCAGATGCCAGCCACCAGCTGACCTGGTGCCACGCTCCCATGTCACACTTGGTGAAACTGAGGCAAAGTGCCTTGCAGACAGAAGGTGGCAGACCACTGCCGACAAGTGTTCAGCCTCTGATCAGCCCCGTGGCCCCGGGAGGAGCTGGGAAATGTAAAAAGGGGCAGATAGACAAGAAATAGGGTGGCCCTGGAGCTTTTCTTTCAAGCTCCTCTCCCAGGCCCAGGCATGGACTGCCAGACCCTGGTCCACACTCTCCTGCAGTGCCCACCCAAGACCAGTGATCTCTGCCACTGTCGGTAGCCTGGGTCATCAGAGAGACCCTGCGTGACTCACACTCATGGCCCCGGCCACTCCAGGGCTCTCACCACCAGGCCACATGGTTGAATTGTCCAGACCAGTGGTTCTCAGAGTATAGGCTTGGACCAGCATCACCAACCGTTCCTAGAAATGGTAGAAACACAAATTCTCGGGCCCCACTGCAGACCTACTGAATCTGAAACTCAGAGGAGGGGCCGGGCAATCTGTCTGCAGAAAAACATTCCAGGTGACACTGCTGAGCTGGGAGAACCAGCTGGTGGAACCACTGGTTGGAGAACCACTCCAACCCCTGGCCACAGCTGCCCAGCCGAACCTCCACCCGGCCAGTCAAACTCTCCAGGGAAAGGATCTACTAATCTCTAGCCTTAACGACACCAACAGAAAAGCCAAGCAAACAAACCCGGAGACTTAGACTGTACCCCTGGATGATTCCGATGCCCAAACATAGCGGAAGACTATTCTGGAACCCAGGAAGGCACGGCCCTCCAAATAGCAGGTGTGGCTCTGAGGCAGACACTTGTACCTACGTCTTAGTCCCAAATCCCATGAGAATCCCACCTAAATCCATCTGAGCCCTCTTCAGCCTCTGGGAACCTTCAGACCAGGGGATGGATTTAGCAAAATTGTCTGCCCTGGACACCTCCCTCCCCCAGGCTCCCCATCCTTCCTGTCACCTCCGCTTAAACCAGTGTCTTAGGCAGTAACAAAATAACCTCGGGCTGAGTGGCTTAAACAAAGAAATGAATTTCTCACAGTCCCGGAGGCTTGAAGTCGGAGATCAGGGGCCCTTATGGTCCTATTGGGGTGGGACCTCTTCCTGGCTCACAGGCGGCCGCTTTCTCGCTGTGAGCTCACACAGGCTTCCTTGTAGCATGGGAGAGAGAACTATCTCTCTTCCCCTTCTTACAAGGCGACCAGTCGGATCAGAGAGGACCTCGCGCTCATGATTTCATTTAAGGCTATCTTCTGAAAGCCCTCTCTTCAAATGCAGTCATGTCAGGCAGGAAAAGAACTTTGGCATGTGAATTTGGGGGCACATACACGTGCCTACAGCAACTGAATCAAACTAGTCCGTTTCCTGCCCTGAAATCTTCATGGCTTTTCAAGAATTCCAAGGATACTAGGACGCCCGGGTGGCTCAGTCCTTTAAGCCTCTGCCTTCGGCCCGGATCATGATCCCAGGGTCCTGAGATCGAGCCCCACATCGGGCTCCCTGCTCAGCGGGGAGCTTGCTTCTCCCTCTGCCTGCTGCTCCCCCTGCTTGTGCGCTCTCTCTCTCTCTCTCTGACAAATAAATAAAATCTTTAAACAAAAAAAATAAAAGAATTCCAAACTATCAGCCATCTGTAGAAAAACCACTCCAGAGCCCCTAGGAATGACTCTCAGAGAAGGGAGTTCCAAGCTGGGAGAGGAATGTGTGGCGGGAGGGAGAGATCCTTGTGACAGAGCCAACCCATCGCTGCCCCTTGAGGACCCAAGTCCCAGGCTCCTCCCCTGGGCAAGCGTTGTGACACCTGCCTTGTGCCCTTCCTCTGCCTGCAGTTCACATCCTGGATCAGGGGTGGGCGCTGCCTTTGGTGCAAATTCATTTTTTGGTCTGAGCCTCGGTACCCACACCCTTAGGGCCCCACATGGCGGCCCATCAGAAGCACCAGGAAGCCTGTTAAGAATTCAGATCCCCAGGCCCGCCCCTGAACATGCTGGCTGGGTGGATAGAAGACAGCCCCCAGGGCTCTGTATTGCTACCCAGTGTCCTCCCCACTACGGGGAGACTGTGGTGCAGCTGGGTCCTTGGGGGTCCCCCAGACCTGGCTCTCCCAGGGGTCCGCTGCAGCTTCCTCCCCCCGCACAGGAGTCTTTTTTGGAAACCTCTCGTCCCACCTGCCCTGGGATCCTCCCGGCACCATGACCCACTCTCCTCTCTCCCCACAGCGCGGCCCCCGCCGAGGCCCGGACCTTCAGCCTGAAGCACTCCGAGCGCGTGCGCGTGGAGGTGGTGCGCGACGGGCAGGCCGAGGAGGTGGCCACCAACGGCAAACAGCGCTGGCTCCTGTCGCCCAGCACCACGCTGCGGGTCACCATGAGCCAGGCGAGCGCTGAGGCCAGCAGTGACAAGGTACCCTGGCTAGGGACGCCCTCCGAGGGCGAGGGCAGCGGGAACCGGGGGCGGGGCTAAAGCAGCGTCACCCAACTCAGACAGAACGTGCGCCACACTTGTCACTGCCCCGTTCCTAGCATCCATTCTCAAAGAACAGAAAGAGACAGGCGGCCTCCATTTTTATAGTACGTTTTCCTTAACCCCATAGATCACGTATTATTATTTTGACATGATGCTAATATAAAAAAAAAAAAATCCATGAGATACCGCATGTCCTTTTTTACACCAAGTCTGTGTCACACTTGGAGCACATGTCAGATCAGATTTGCCACGGGACACCCCTGTGGCTGGTGACTACTGGACACGGAGACTCAGGGCCAGACCGTGGATGGATGGCTTCATGGAATGTTAATGCTGTGGGCTGCTGAGTGATGTATTAGAATCACTGGAAGTTACAGCCACAAATGTCCTTGGCCTCCTCCTATATTGAATGGGGTGCTGAGTGGCCACGCAGTAGGGCAATTTGCCCAGTGGTAAAGCTGAGACCTGACGTCTCTTTGCTGGGTTCTGTAGTTATGAACTTCCGATGCGCCCCGTGGCAGTGATGGCACTGGGCATTATTTAAAGAAAACCCCTCAGCCCTACCCCTGGCTGCTTAGCAGGAGCAAGTCATATGCCATGGCAGATATGGGAGCGGGGTAGGCAGCAGAATGCACCAGTACCCTAATGTACCCAGTCAGTACCCTAATGTACCCAGTCAGTACCCTAATGCCCTCTAAGAAGAGGGGAGCCCCCTATCTGTTGGATAATTTGAGAGAAGCAGCCTACCAACCCAGGAATGCTTCCTGGAGGAGAGGGTTTCTGTGTTTGGCTTGACAGGCTGTGAGGGGTGAATCAGGGAGAGGGGTCTCCGCAGATTTTCCTGCCTGTGATCTGTGATCTCTGCTCTTCTCTCCCTCCCAATGCACCACCTTCCCTGCCAAGGTCACTGTCAACTACTATGAGGAGGAGGGGACTATGCCCATTGACCAGGCTGGGCTCTTCCTCACAGCCATCGGTAAGTTGGTGTGACTGCGGCCTGGGTGCTTTGCTCCCCGGGGGCTGACCCTGCTGCCCTTCTCAGCGGCACTTGGCCTGAGTCCAGTGCTGCAGACCTGACACTCGGAGCTTCCTCTGAATAATGCAGGCCTGAGAAGTGATGCCACGGGTGCCCAGGCCCTTCTGTGAGGGATGAGGGGTGAGGGATGTCCTGCAGGAGGAGGCGTACCCTGGTCTGCCAGCACCTCGCCCCCAATGTCAGCATCCCCACCCAGGCTCTGTGGGCCACTGAGAAAAAAGAGCAGAGTCTGTTCCTCCCCTGCCTCTCCCCTGCAGCCTGGAGAAGAGCTTGTCCCTCATAGTGAGGGAAATGGGCAGTCTGCTGGGACTACCCCCTTGCCCTCCCTAGACCCTGCCCTGGGAACACAGAGAGGCAGCCTGGTTCCTTAACTCACCTAGTCCAAGCCTTTCATCTGGCATGGAGGACAGGGAGGCCGAGAGAGGTTAGGGAACTTGTTCAAAGTCACACAGCATCTCCCTGGAAGGTTGGGTCCGGGGCTCAGGACGATCCCCCTCTCTGGGCTCTTCCCATCTGCCCAGCACTCCCCTGCCCAGGTTCCAGGGCTCGGGCAGTGTGGCTTTCTTCCAACATTCCCCTCTTCTGCAGGTGAGGTGTTACTTTTACATCTTCCTTTTCATCTTAATTACATAATGTTTAAGCCAGGAGGACATGTCAGGAGGTCGTTCTGTCTGTCCAGCCTGATTTAGCATTGCCCGAGCTGCCCCATGGCAGGGCGAGAAAACTTTCAGCTGCTGAGAACCAGCCGTGTGCGGAGAGCTTTAAAAGTTGCAAAAATGTCTCGCACTTACTCAAAACCTACTCTGGGTCCTCTACGGTGCTGGGTGCTTCGAAGAGGAGAAGGAGAAACACTCGACCTTTCTTGAGCGCCAACTGTGTGCCCAGTTCCATTCCTTCACTGTCACGGTCTCAATCTTCTCTTCCAACTATGGTCAGGATAGATAAGAGGTCTCAGAACTTCTCCCCAAAACAACCAGTTCCCACTCAGCTTCTCCTCCTCCAACCACCAGAGTAGCAGCAATGTACCTCCACCCTCAGCTTCTTCCCCGGTGGGCTTTGTTTGCTGGTCACCCTGACCCTCTTTCTGCACGGAGGGAGTGCCCGGCCTTGGGCTAGGCTCCTCGGGACACCCTCGGGGGCGGGACCCCGGAGGAGGGTCCTCACAAGCACACACGGCCCCTGGGCATCTCAGATGACCTGCCCTGAGGAAACCTAATCCCACAGAGACGGGGACACCTGGGGACATAAGCAGGAAGGGCAGTGGCCAGTGGTCCCAGAGGGCTGACGCCACCATGAGCGAGTCTACCCCCGAAGCCAGGCAGACAGGATAGATGGCAAAACAGTGCCCCGTGAGGAGGCAGGACCGGACCCCCCCTCTCATCCGAAGGACTGGGGAGCTTGTGCTCGAGGGAACAGCAGGTTCCACAGACCAGTAAAGTGCCCACCCCGCCCCCAGTAATAAGCCTGACATTGTTGGTGCTTGGCCAAAAAGAAAAAAATATGTGAATATTTATTTATAAAATATAAATAAAATAATTTGCCAACAACTATCACCATCATTCTAACATTTTTCACACTTAAAAAGTAGACAGAGGAATTATTCCAGAATAGAAGACAGTCACTTACATTGCTGAAATAAAGTCTTGCGGAAACCTCACCCGCTGAACTTACATTTCCTGTTCTACCAGGGACCCTGGGGGAAATTGGTTCCCCTTAGGGCCCGCTGGTCTGTCTGACCCTCTGGGTCTTGTCTTTCTCAGGCATCTATCCCAGGGGCCCTGAGCCCCGAGTCCTGAGTAATCATTGCCCCTTCCTAGGGAGGGCACCTCAGAGGCAAGGAATACCCCAAAAGTTCCGGGATAAGGGGCTGCCCCCCCCAGGGATATATCAGAGTCCACCAAACCCTAGCTCTGCCCTGAGCCCCACATTCCTCACCTGCCCCGAGGGACCCACAGTGCCCTTGTGCACAGTGCTCACGGAGATCCGATCATGGGGTCTGGAGTAGACACTCAGTCAATACTCGTTCTTCTCGCCCTTCTGCTTGGGGTAGCCACATTTTCCTTCCACCTGGGCAAAGCTGAAGAACCCTATTGTCCCTCAGTCTTCCTCCTGGGACTTGGAAACAAATCCATGGTGCCCTTGGCCAAACCAGGCCCTGGGGCTCGGCTCCCAGTCCTGCCAAGGACATGCTGTGTGACCTCACCAAGTAGCCCGCCCCTTGGGACCTCACTTTCTCCCAGCTGTAAAACCAAGGCTTTGAGCCCATTGACGGCCTTCAAGACTCCGGGTAGGACTGAGTTGCAAAGTCCTTCCTGTGAAGGGGACTGGGGGAAGGGAGGGGTGGGAGACAGAAGAATGGTCTCCCCGTCTTGGCTGTGGTTCTGGCAAGAGGAGCAGGACATGAGCCTTGAGAATTATTAGCCTCATCCTAAGGACCTCATTTCTTGTGCCCCCTCCCCAGAGCCTAGGCTGATTGCCCTAGTTGGCTGTGGGGGAGAAAGTCCTGCCTCCCCACCACACCCCGTGCTGCCCGGTTACGTAAGAAGGGCAGGCACGCTGCCCCTGCCCCTGCCCCTGGGGGCCAGCAGCCTGCCAAAATGCTTATGCCTCTGTGTCAAGCCTAAAGCCTCGGTGTCTAGATTCTCAGGGCAGACTACCTTGAACTCAATCCCAGTGACATTTCCCATAAATCTGCCCCACACCCCAGGTGCCACCTGACCCCTTGGGGCTATTCTGGGGAGCTGAGGTAGGATTCTGAGCCTCTGGGAAATGTCATCTGGAGCCCAGATGCCCCGAAACAGCTGTCCTCACCCCCCTCCCCTTCAGGGAAGACAGAGCTATCTCAAGACGACAGAACTCTGGGTGGGTCACGATGGCCCTGTCCTCTGTCCCTGCAAGGATCATCTCTGCGGAAATCTAGTTAAATGCAACATTGGAGGGAACTTTGAAGGGGAAGAGCCTGGGCGGTTGGGAGGTGGGTGATAAGAGAGCCCGATGACGTCATGTCTGAATTTTATAACAGGAAGTCAGTGAAACTTGTCTGAAGTTAAAGTTAAAACTTGTCTCAAGGGAGAGCAATAAGCATAAGACTCGATATTCTGGAGATTTCCTAAGGCAGGTGAGAGGATAGAATGGGCAGGAAACTGCTATTTTTTAGAAGGTGTTTGGTGCTATTTGCAGTTTGCTTGTTTTGTGTGTGAGTTGTTTTGTTTTGTTTTGCATTTTGTGCAAATATTCCATCGATAAAATTTTTATTTAAAAAAAAATTTTTTTTAAGATTTTATTTATTTATTTGAGAGAAAGAGAAGGAGCAGGGGGAAGGGGGGGGGAAGCAGACTCCCTGCTGAGCCTAGAGCCCGATGTGAGGCTCGATCCCAGGACCCCGGGATCATGACCTGAGTAGAAGTCAGAGGCTTAACCGACTAAGTCACATGGGCGCCCCTACATCGACAAAATTTTTAAATTTAAGGAATTTATCATGAAGGAAGACACAGTTAAGTGCTTCGTAATTTCTCTCCTGTGGCCCACTGTGTCCGTGGACCCACCAACAGCCATGGTGTCCTGTCACCTTGAACTAGAGACCAAAGTCCCAGGGCTGCCAGGGTAGGGATGTGGCCAGCTCCCCTGGGAATGGCCTTAAGGGGAATAAGCCTTGGGTCTTTGACGGCGGACTTGGCTTTTAGAAACATCCCAAGGTGGAGATCAGCCTGAGTCAGTGGAGAGGAAACGGGCCAAGGTCAGGGGTCTGGAGTCAGAGGCTGGAATGGGATGCCTGGCTTTCCACTCTCTGGAGACTTTGTGGGCATTTCCCTGCAGGATGCCTTGGTCTCCCCATCTGTGCGGTAGTGGTAAGTCGTCTCTGCGGGTGTGACTAAGGGGAGAACACGCGATGAGAGGCACTCTGCCTCGGGAGAAGGGAACTGCACACACAGAAGAGATTGTTACCTGGAAAAGCAAAGACAGGGGGTTCCTTAGGGAGCCCAGGACTGTGGCTGGTTCCCAGGGAGGAGCTTCGGGAAGCCAACCTCCCTGAAAGGCAACACTCACTGGGGGGTGTCCAGTTGGAAAGTTCATGAAGGTCTGGAAGCCAAAATCAATACTGTTCCTCCATCAGAGCCTTCAATCTCTTTAACAGCAGCTGGCGGTACCTGCCTCCCCACTTGGCCTGGAGAATATCCCTACCCTGAGCCAGCCTCCAGGTTATCTATCAGCCCAGTTTGCTGACAGATGACGTCTCGAAGGCTGGGTTCGCTCATCTCTACAGTCGTGGCAATAATAATATTTATCTCATCAGACTGGGGACTCCAGGGTAGGCAGGTGTCCCGAATGCCCACCGCTGGGCCCCCCAAGCTCTGTAGAGCGCCTGGAATGAGGGGATGCTCAATGATGATTTTTTGACAGATGGGATTGATAGGACGAGCTTATCTAATAATCGCGGCCTATGGCACCCAACTGACAGCCGGGCTGCAGAGGCTGGGACGCTGGGGTGCTCCCTCTCCCAAAGGACCAAGCGCCCTGAGAGTTTCCCCTGTCCTGCCTCCTTCTAGACCCAGAAAAGCCACATTCAGGGAATCAGGCTGTGAGCAAAGAGAGGACTTGTGTATTATCCCCAGGGTGAGCTGCCTCAGGAAGGGTGACATCAGCAGCCCTTCCTGTGCCAGGACCCTCCTCCCCACCCAATCCAGGGAGAGAGCACGCCTGCCAAGGGGACAGACCAGGAATGCATTCACTCCCACCCAGCTCCCGCCTCTGTCCAACTCATGCTCTGCGTGAGGCCAGGGCATTTCCAAGACCTGGACTCAGTTCATCCATTGTGTGACACTCCATCACCTCGGGACGACTCCTCAGCCCTGCCCTGCCCTGTCCTGTTAGTCTCTAACTCGGGGGGCCATTTGGCCTCCCAAGGGACATTTGGCAATGTCTGAAGACATTTCAGTTGTTGCAGTTAGGGGATGTCACTGGCATCTGGCAGGTGGTGGCCAGGGATGCTGCTAGACATCCTCCAATGCAGGTAGAGGAACTAGGGCTCAGAGAGGCTGTCCAACCTGCCCAAAGTCACACAGCTTATAAGCAGAAAACCAGGGTTTGAACCCAGCACTGTCTAACACTTAATCTTGGGCTCCTTTCGCTGCCTCACATGGTTTCCATGAAGCTGGTCCCTAGGACAGGCCTAGAGATACCAAATAGCCCTTCCCCAAGAGAAAGAATAAATAGGGACCCCAGACTGAGTCCTCTATCTGAGAGCCTGGCTTTCTCAGGCACCCTCAGACCAGGAGGGATTGGAGACCCAGCTTCCCATCCAAGGTAAAACCCCGATGGGAGGCGGAAGTTCTAGAAGAGATCACACGCGTGCATGTGTGCACACTGCCAGGACAGACGGAGAAAGGCAGTCAGGGACGCCTATGAAAGTTTTCAAAATCTGAACTTCAGGTCAGGCCAAACACAACATGCCCCAGTTCCGCTAATGCCTCCTGTCCACACGGGGCACGTGACTTGGCGTCTCTGAGCCAAGTCTCCTGGACCTATCTCATGGGGCTCATCCCACCCACCACCCAGAACCGTCTGCAGAACCATGAAGGCTGGGGGGATCCCTGCCCTATGTGATCGCCCCTCTCCAGGCTGTCATGTGTGAGGTTGGCACAGTGTCCACTTACATCCTCCATCGGGCGGTGGGGGGCTGGGGCAGGAGGCTGCCTGAGATGGCAGCAAGACCCTCCCCTTCCAGGGACCCAGGGACCAAGCAAACGTGTGAGCTGCACAGGGCTTCCCCCCGGCCCTCTCCCCACCCCACCCTGTCTGGCAGGCTCCACGACTCACGCGTGTGTCTGTCCCCAGAGATCTCCCTGGATGTGGATGCAGACCGGGACGGCGTGGTGGAGAAGAACAACCCGGGAAAGGTACCGAGCTACCAGGGCAAACGGCCCCGGACTTGGTGGGGAGGCTCCCGGGGGTGCAGAGCAGAGCCCCAGGATGGGTGCTGTGGTCAGCCGCGGTCCTCCCCACAAGCACGGACAGCTCCCCTTTTACAGAGAAGGAGACTGAGGCCCAGCGCAGGCTCCCACACAGCGCGCCCATGGCAGAGCCCACAGAGGAGCCAAGTGCCTCACAGCCACAGCCGCCAAGCACCTTCCCGAGTCGGTTCCCCGTCCACAGGACGGAACACCCGGTTCGTAGAGCTGTTGGACGGTGTCCTGCCACAGAGGAGGCATTCGCTCTTATGACTCGGCCTTCTTTTTCATTTTAAAACCGAACGAGGGAGACCCTCGGGAGCAGAAGGCCGCGTAAACCATTCTCGTTCAAGGCGTGTTATCTTTAAGGGCGCACCGATACCCCCTCTCTTGTTTCATTCACCCATTCATTCATTCATCCCTGCATCGGTTCATATCTTCATTCATTTACTCCCTCTTACCCCGCGTTCCACACTCCCATCCGGCTTCCCTACAGAGGACCATTTTAATGGGTTTGGTGTGTTCCTTTCCGTTCTCATGATTCCTGCAAAACACACCGTGTGCTTGGTGCACGTGTGTCTTTTGCCTGCGTAGACAGCACCGTGTTCTCCGGCTCCTTCAGCTGTGGCCTTCGCCCTCCAGACAGGTTTTAAGCTCCACTGGTTTTGCTCTGTGTACATGCAACGTTCCTTCGTTCCATTTCCCGGCCTTCTAGATCACTTACGTTGGTGGTTTATGTTACTTTCATAATAACAACCCAAAGCCTGTTTTAAATTACATGTAGATGGATACTTGCAAAAGTTAAATGAGCACAGCCCAGGGAGAAGCCTGGGTCCCAGCAGCCAGCCACAGACTCTCTGTACCAGGGATGTGGGGCCTCAGGCCCGTGGGGGAACCCCCTCTCCCCGGCTCCTCCATGGGACTCCGCCTTCTGGAGGGTTCCTGCTGCAAGGAGACGCCGAGTCTGTGTCCGTGGCCAAGCCACATGACAGCAGACTCCACGGAGGCCTCGGTGGCACCCCGCCCCCACCCCCCCGGGCAGCTCTGCAGCCTTGGTGAAGTCCCACAGTCCTACAGGTCTAGACTTCCTCGGACTCTCTCTAGCCGGGCCTGTGAGGCTTCATATGTTCTCCCCTTGTCCCACAAGTATTTGTTGATGTTCCCGGACTGGTCAGGCCCTGCAGCTGCAGAAGGAAAGAGTGGAAGTCAGCTGCTGCCCTCCGGGAGCCCGCAGTCCAGGGCAGGAGGAGGGAAGAGGGGCCTCTTTAAACAGAGTGTCCTGGGTGACCATCTCATCACAATTGTCCCAAGCTCACCTCCAAAGGGAACATGTATGGGGCCCTAAACGTAACCCCAGTGCAGCCGCTCAGGGCTGGAAACTTAGAAAGTCTTCTGGAAGGAAGGGATGGTCCTGCCAGGACCCCAGGAGTTGTGAGGGTGGCCAGGCGAGGGGAGACCGACAGTGTCGGGAGCACAGGACCTGTGAGGGCACCCGCCTGAGAGGTCCTGAGTCTGTATGGAGGGAGCAGAGCGAGCCAGCAGGAAGGGGGATGGATGGAGAGTGGGCCAGGCTTACCCGGCCTTGCAGCCCACAGTCAGGGATTGGGGCTTTATCCTAAGTCAACAGGGAGCCCCGGAAAGGGCTTACAGCAGGAAAGCAACATGATCTGGTTGGAGCTTGTTCTAGTAAGTCCCTGGCTACAGCGGAGAGAACGGATCACCTTGCAGGTCCCGTTTGGAGCACTCAGCATGTCTGGAAACAGCTGGGTGTCCGCCCATCCAGGCGTCTCCCCTCTGATCCCCTCCAGGGACTCCAGAACCTGTCGTAGAATGCAAACCTCCTCATTCCTCCAGCCGCCCTCTGTCTCCCTGCCTCCACCCCTTCCAGACACAGGCACACCAGGCTTGTGGCTCATAAATACCCAGTGTCCCCATCTCTGTGTCTCCTTCTGCCACCATCCCCCTCCTGAGCTTGTCTCTGGTGCCTGCACTGAGCCTCTCCGGGCATCAGACGTGGGGTTCACATTTGCCACGTCACCCCTGTCTCGATGCATGGTAGCTCTGTTTATCCTCATCCTGGGACTGTCTCTTGAGGGTCCTGTGGGGTCTGTGGCAGAGCTCAAATCAGCCAGAAGGTAGACAAGAAGGTGCTGACCCTTTCCCTGACATTGCAGGCATCCTGGACCTGGGGCCCTGAGGGCCAGGGGGCCATCCTGCTGGTGAACTGTGACCGAGACGCGCCCTGGCTGCCCAAGGAGGACTTGAACGATGAGAAGGTCTACACCAAGGAAGGTGCCAGCAGGACTCACACTCGGAATGGGTGGGGGGTTGGACAATGGAAACACGCATGCTCAGCCCTGGGCTGGGCCAAGACTGAGGCAGGAGTGACCTTCAGTCTCCTGGGGATGGTGGACTCCAATATCCACTCTTGGGGCACCTGGGTCACTCAGTCTGTTAAGCATCCAGCTCTTGATTTTGGATCAGGTCATGATCTCGGGATTGTGAGATCAAGCCCTGTGTCCAGCTCCTTGCTGTGTCTGGAGCTTGCTTAGGATTGTCTCCCTCTCCCTCTGCACCTCCCTGCTCTGCTCTCTCTCTCACTCTCAAAAAAAAAAAAAAAAAAAATCCATTCTTGCTAAAAAACAGAAAAAATCTATTAACAAGATTCAATGGGAACCATGGTTTTGTAACAGGAGTTACACGTACACAAACACATAGGGAAAGGACTGGAAGGAAATTCCCAAAAAGTTACAGGAGGTCATGGTATTAGAGAAGACAACCTGTTGTTGTGCTTCTCTGTGGTTCCTACAATACACAAGTGTGGGGTTTTCTGTCCCGATTGGAAAAGCAACAATTATTCCTGAGCTCACATTCCAGCTGCCTGTCTCTTAATTCTAACCTCCTCTGTATCCCCTGCTCCCCAGACCTCAAGGACATGTCCCAGATGATCCTGAGGACCAAAGGCCCTGAGCGCCTCCCCGCCGGATACGAGATAGTTCTCTACATTTCCATGGCGGACTCGGACAAAGTGGGCGTGTTCTACGTGGAGAGTGAGTGACCCCAGTTCAACCCCTCTGGAAGTTTCTATCCATTTGGTGCTCACTGAGCTAACTTCCCCAGGGCCCTGGTTTGCCCTCCTGCTCCCCAGAGCACCGCCCCCACCCCCGCCAGCAGCTATGACCTCTGCAGGTGCACGTGACTGGAGAGGGCCAGGACCCGCTTCTTAGTAATGGTCCCTGGGAGCACTGTTGCTGTCCTGTGAAGTCAGGAGGCCCCAGGGATAGGCCTCTCCTCTCTCAAAGGAGTTGGTACTGATGGGGGTTTATGTACAACCCAGAGCCCCTCTCTCCTCTTGATGGTGACAGGACATCCTGGGCCCTAGCTGTGTAGGGAACATGCTTCTGCCACAGAGCCAGTCCTCACAGCCACCTGCTCTGTCTCATGCCTCCTATAAATACGTGTTGAGCCCCCTCCGCACCCAGCACTGTTCTCAGTAGTCACACCCCACGTGTGTCTCCCTCTGCGACCATCCCTCTCCTGAGCTTGGGGGAGGGGATGGTCTGGGCATGATAAGGAGCACAATGGGAAAAAATGACACCCACCAAGTACTAGGGACTTTCAGAGGCAGAGGTGAGAGATCGCAGGCCCTGGGCCATCCAGAAAGGCCTCACTGAGCAGGTGACATTTGAGCTGAGGCCCAAATCCACAGTGTGAAGGACCCAGATATTCATGAGCTGAGGGAAGAGAGTTCTAATTAGAGGAAACAGCACGCACAAATCAGAGAGGAGTGGAACCAGCTTGGAGTGTTAGAGGAGCAAAAGGGAGAGACTATAGGTGGGGGATGTGTTGGAGTCAAGGTCAGCAAGCTGGACAGGGACCAGGGGCATGAGGAGCAGGCTTGGATTTTATTCTGAGAGCTGTGGAAAGCCATTAGAGAGTTTTAAGCAAGAGACTGTCAAGATCTGATTTATGTATTAAAAAGCTCTCTCAGCAAAATAGTTAGCTTTGCAATTTGCCATGATGCGAGGTGGGGTTTCCCCTGTGTGCCCAGCTGTCTGGGGGGCCCAGGACCTCTGGCCTACCTCTGGGGACCACCTCTGGACAGGCCCGCTAGCACCAGGACAGTCGCCATGAGGAGCTAGTCATGGGAGCCCCGGACCCTCACTGCAGGGAGTGATTTAGCCCAGACAGCAGTGGACAGCTGCCACCCAAGGCCAGTCCTGATCCATCCTGGGCCTGGCAGTGGCCTCCCCGAGATTGGAATGTCCCCAGAGTCAGGCCAGCTCTGCTGCCCCAGGGGGCCGGAGCTGTTGATACTTGTCCCGTCCAGTCTAAGGCAACTGCAGAGGATGGGGCTGACGGCACGGCAGGAGGGAGTGGTACAGCAGAACCCCCACCTGCTCCTCTCAACCGTGACATTCAACTGGGACACGCGGCGTGCTGCTAATAGTGGCCCCTGGCCATTATCTAGAGGGTGCTGCTCATTAATGGGAGTGGATTGTAGTCTGGCCCCATAATCGCATCCCTGCCCCTCCCTTGCCATCCGAGATGGCCCCTGAGCAAACAGATGCCTTGAGACACTGCTGTTCCCCAGTCTGCCTTATAGGACTGCTGTCCTGTGGGGCACAGGGGGCACCTTACTGATGCAGTGATGAGTCTAAAATAGTTTTCCCACGAAATGCGGAATCCTGGAAAGAACGGAGTGGGGAGTAGGATGGGGAGGGGGGTTCTCCGTCTGTGGCAGTTTCCCTTTCTTCTGTGCAAACATTTCCAGGTTTTGTCAAAATCTCAGTACACCTATGGGGGAGAATGGGCCGTATTACACAAATGTTTCATGTCACCTGGGTTCCCCAAGAGCAGGGAGCTGGGCTGAAGGCCAAGGGATCCTAAGAAGGAGCTCTGGTGTCTGGGGGTTTCAAACCCTGCATCTGGGCAAGTCTACTTACCAGTCTGTGACTTGGGTTCAGCTGTGATGTGACGTGGGGATGGTGGGGGGGCATGACGGTCCCTGCCGAGGTTGGGGACTAAACAAGGACCATGTGTGAGACACCCGGCACAGGAGCGGGCCCATGGAATGCCCTCTAGAGATGGCCCTTGTTGGTTTGGCTGGGATCATTCTGATGATCATGAATTAGAACCCTTGCAATAGACAGAAGTCCCCCGTGCTGTTAGGAAGACACTGATGTCTGGGTTCCAGCCTCAGATTCTGCCCCAGGATCCTGAAGTTGGGGCCTGACTTCTTCCAATAACAATACAGTGACCAGCTTGTCCCCATTTGCCCAGGACTTCCCTGGTTGTCACAGTGAAAACCCCCCTCCCTGGGAAACCCGAGTCCCAGGCAAACCAGGACAGTTGGTCGCACCATCAGGGAGTCTCCTTGGGAGCTTGGGAGGTGGAATGGCTCCAAGGTGACCAGAAGGGTTATGCCAAACCAGACCACGCGCCGGCCGGTAGGTCCAATGCCTGGGGCCAAGGAGAGGTCAGGGTGGCTGGCAGGCCCAGCCCGGGGCATGTGGGCTGCTCAGAGAAGGGCATTGTTGGTTCCTGCAGGGAGAGCTGGCCATGCTCAGGCAGCCTGCCCCAAGCTGGGGGCAGGGGAAACATGCTCCTTGGGACAGTGGCTGCATTGTTCCCACCACCGAGTCAATCCACCTGGAGGTGGCCCAAGCACCAGAAAGAGAGACGTGTGTAAATCACAGGCCACAGGAGGGAGAAAATTACCTGCAGAGGAGTGAGAATGTGTCCTTCCACCTGACCCAGCTTCCTGGCCAGACCCCTTCCCTCCCCAGGCCCAGGTGGAGTGCCCCGCCACCCGGAGTCCTGGGGAAGCTTTGGAGGTTTCTGCAAAGACAAGTCAGCTTCTGGGCCCGAGATCTCTCCCCTGAGCCGCAGCCCAGGCAGCCTGAATGCCTGGAAGAGACCTTTTTAATTACAAAGATCTTTCTGGATGTATTCAGCAGTTAGGATCTACTGAGGGCGCACCCTGTTGTTTCATCTTCTCGGTCAGCTCCTGGGCACGTCCAGGGTCTCAGCCTGTTGGCCTCATTTCTTGGGCCCAGCCAAGGGGAGGAGAGGTGAGGTATTGTTTCTTTGCCTTCTGCTCATAAGCCGTTCAACACAAAGGCCATGAGTTTTGCAGAAATGGGCGTGCCAACTTGGCTCAGGCGCTCGTCTTACTGACATCTACGGGTCCCGGCTGTGTTAATGATGGTTACCCGTGGTTAATGGGTGTCCCTAAGTTACTGATGCTGTGTCATTCTATCTTGCAATGACCTTGTGGCCTAGGTGATATTAGCCCCATTTAACAGATGGGTAAACTGAGGCTTGGGAAGTTTAAGTGAATTCCCAGAGGTTTTGCTGCTTGTAAAGCCTGAATGGTATTGGAACCCAGGTCTCTCTGACTCTGGAAGTCATAACCAGTAAGGTCACGTGCCCTCAATGAGACATATAACCAGGGTCCTCCTGAACACATTGTCCTACATGAGGAGCTATCCCAAACCCAGGCTTTGGAGTTTCCTCCATTTAATCTGCTGGTTTTCAGCATACACCCTGTTTGTACGAGGACCGACCCACGGGTGACTAGTGATTAACCATTACTGTTGTTGCTGACAGTATGTCCTAAGCTGAGCCTGATTCTGCCCTTCCAGCTCTGCGGGGCATAAAGAAACTCCTTCTGGAACTACATAGGGTTCTGCCTCCATGCCTTGGGCAATGCAAGTATCTGTTTCCTCTCCTCACTGTACCCCACCTCTGCCACCCCAAAGGGCATCTCAAAGTCTCCCTTCATCTGCTCACATGCTTCCCGTCCTGCCTCCCTTCCCCCCACTCCCCACCCCAGTAACCTGCCCAGAGCTCTCACCCATGTTACAACACTTCCCACATCAGCATTATCATCGGCCGAGCACTGCTGTTGGACAGACAGAGGTATAGAATCTTGCCCATTTCTATCCACTACCCCCCACCCCCAGAGGTTGCCCATGCTGGGAACAGAGTAGTAATGCTGCTCTGGCCTGAAAATTCTCCTATAGGGAATGGTGTGGAAGCCACGGGTTCATTTGGTAGACATTGATTAAACACGACCTGTGTGATGCTGGCACTGGGCCCAGCCAGACCTGTCTCGGCCCTCAGGTGACAGTCTCTCAGGGCCAAGAACTAAACACTGAGATCATATCCCCTCAGAAGGGCTGTGATGGGCAAGGAGGAGACGGCAGAAGCTCCACACGGACCCCGGCTTGGTGTCTGGAGGATCCGGGCGTAATTCCCAGAAGGGACCCAAATCAAGGCCTGGAAGGAAAGAACAACTCTGCCCAGCGGAGGGAACGGCACTGGAAAGAGCTGGGGGATGCCAGTGGAACAGACGCACTGGGGAAACCTGCCTTTCCGCCCAGCCACGAGCCAGTACAGCCGGACACCATGCGTGTGGCTTTACACCAATGTGACTTTCATCACACGGACAGAAATTTGGGATATAAATGAGCATCTTGGGGTTTTGCATATAAAAGGGGAGGGGAGCTTGGGGTTCAGAATTGCACAGGAATTTGAGCCCCAGCTTGGCCACTTGCTGGTTATATGACCTCAGCAACCCATTTCTCCTTTCTGAGACTCGGTTTCCTCATGTGTAAAGCAGGAACATACTGTCCTTCCTCAGCACCTCTCAGTGCTCGGTCATCACCTGCTATCAGAGCGCCTGGGCCATTCCTGAGCGCCAGCCTATCTTCTAGATGAGGAAGCTGGAAGCTAGAGAGGTGGTCCGGTTCTCACCACGGGTGAGCGCGCGGCAGTGCTGGGACGATGACCGGCGCCATGGCCCTTCCGGTGGCATTTTCTGCTTGTGCTTATCTCCCTGTGTCTAGAGGACGAGTCACTCTGCCCTCTTGTCCCCTGCCCCACTGACACACCCCTGGCGGGGGCGGGGGCCTGACATGAGCCCCTCTCCCTCCAGACCCATTTTTCGGCCAACGTTACATCCACATCCTGGGCCGGCGGAAGCTCTACCACGTGGTCAAGTACACGGGCGGCTCGGCGGAGCTGCTGTTCTTTGTGGAAGGCCTGCGCTTCCCCGACGAGGGCTTCCCGGGCCTGGTCTCCATCCACGTCAGCCTGCTGGAGTACATGGCCGAGGTGAGGGCTCCCGGGCAGCCACCATGAAGGGCCATCCCTGGGGACGAGGTGGGAGTCTTTCCAGCGTGCCACTCTCAGGGGTTCCCATGAGGCTCCAAAGCACTGGGGCGGTAGGGGGGGGTGGCCAAGCTTAGAGACCCACCCACCAACCTACGCGCACCTGCCTGCCAGGCTCCTCTGGGCTGTGCTCTAGGGGTCCTCCTGCTGCCCGTACCTGCTCCCCAGGACCCCCCCCCCGCCCCGTGGGTGAGGTTTTCCAGCGTTCCCCACAGTGGTGTGGTCTGTCCTCCTCCCTGCAGCGCTATGGGCCTAGTTCTGAGGCACAGATGCCCAGGCAGGAAGGAAACTAGGCCATACACTTGAGGTTTTCCCTCCCCAGACTGACCCTTCACCCTAACTGTGGGTTATACCAACTCTGACCACAGGCTGAACCCATCCCCCCAACCCTGCAGGCAGACTTCTCACTCGCCATTGTTCTTGGTTTGGGGAAACTGGACGAGAAGGAGAACGTCCGCCCCTCTAGAGGAGAAGCCCCCCTCACTTAGAGTGTGTCCTGCTGACAAGGCCTCTTCTCGCAAAGACCACAGCCCCAGACTCCCACCTCTCGGGCCCACCCTGCTTTGCTCAGATATAGGGAGGGATCTGGCTGCCCTCCCCGACACGGGGTCCCCTCCCCATTGTCACTTCCAGAGTACTGGGGGCAGGGCACAGCGGGCTGTGTAGAAGGAGAGGCTGAACCTAGCTTACACTTAAGAGAACGGGCTCTGGAGTCAGACTGCCCAGTTCCAAGCCCTGGGAGACACTGGGCAGGTGAATTTGCTCCCTGTGCCTTAGTTTCCCCATCCGTAAGACAAACGGCAGAAGTTTCTGCTTCCTGGGGTGGTTGTGAGCACCCATACTGGTAAGAACTCCTTCACAAAGCATCCTCAAGTCCCTCAGAAGAATAAAGGCAGGAAGGGCAGCACTAACAGGATGGGACAGAGAAGGGCTTCTGCTCCCATCTGTGCCTGGAGTAGCCTGGCCATCGGGGCCTCAGACTGGCCCCTCCAGCAGGCACCAGCGGAGACTCACAAGGCAGACCCAGGCAGGAAAGGACAGCTAGGGCCCTAGTCCCACCTGCTCCCACGGTCTCTGCCAAGGGCAGGTGCCCATTTCCTGTAGCTGTTCAAAGCCAACTACACAAAACCTCAGAATCGACTCATTTTCCCTCAGGTTCCAAGCAAGCTTCCTGAACCTTTACTTAAAGAACCATCTGGACATAGCAAAATTCCCCCGAGAAACATTAAAACACTCACCTGTAGAAAAGAGCAAGGTCCCAAAGCAGAGACAGAAGAAGGCGTGGCTGGCCCAGCCATCCTGTGGGCTGGTTTCAGGACAGGGACTTTGATGGGGCAAGACCCAATCGTGGTTGAGAGTATGAAGGCAGCAGCCTGACCATGTGGGTTTAAATCCAGGCTCCGCCCCCCCCCCCCACTAACCACGTGAAACAGGTCTGTGACTAGAAGCCTGTGACTCAGTTTCCCTACCTGTAAGACACGGGTTATAATAGTTATCTTCCCCCTGCAGTTGCTGTGAGGCAGAAATGAAATGGCATGTGTGGCGCTAGCCCAGGGCCTGGTATACTACAAGTGCTCAATAAATGTAGTTTTGTCATCAGATTCACCCACTTTAGGAAGCAGGCATGAAAGCTACCCTGACCAGACTTTCTGGTCCCCTCCCCTCTCCCACATCCAGAAGATTCCCCTGACGCCCATCTTCACGGACACCGTGATATTCCGGATTGCTCCGTGGATCATGACCCCCAACATCTTGCCTCCCGTGTCGGTGTTCGTGTGCTGGTAAGCGATGGCCAGGGCACAGGGAGGTGGCACGGCCGAGTCACTAAAGCTGGGGCTCTGAGTTCAGAGCCTGGCTCTGTCCCTTACCCACTGTGTGACCTTGAGCAACTCCCTTGACCTCTCTGTGCCTCTGTTTCTCTGAAATGCTGACATCACAGCATCACTGTGGGCACTAAATGAAGCAGGTCAAGTATTAATCCAAGGTCCTGGCTCTTGCGTATGCTATAAAAATAAGGTCTGTCACCCCTTCTCTCATTCTTTGCTTGCGTCGTCTGCTTGGGAAGCTCCTGTGTGGTGGATATTCAGCTCATCTTATGCAGCTTTTTTTTTTTTGAGCAGCTATCATGTGCTAGACATCTGCAGCAAGATGAGAAGCAAGACAAAGTGCCCTGCAGGTGGCTGCTGGCCATGATGAGAGGGCCCTGAGGCCCTGGGCCCATCCCCCTGCCTCTGGGCTAGACAGAACTCTCCAGAAAGCTGGGCGGGTTGGGGGGGAAGAGTGCCCCTTCTCGTTCGTGACCTTGGCAAATACCATGGGTGGAGGAATTTGTCTGGCCTTGGCTCAAGCAGCCTTTGCAAAGGTGACTAGGAACCCATTTGTGGCCTCATCTTCCCAGCACAACCCAGAGGTGAAAGCTGCTTGTTGACACCTCAGTTGGACTGGCCCTTGACCCTCCTCACCCTTCCTCCTGGCCTCCCTCTCTTCCCCGAACTTCTCAGCATGAAGGACAATTATTTGTTCCTGAAAGAGGTGAAGAACCTGGTTGAGAAAACCAACTGCGAACTGAAGGTCTGCTTCCAGTATATCAACCGAGGGGACCGCTGGATCCAGGTGAGGCCCTGCAGGCTGGGAGGGATGTGGTCCAAGGCTCAGGCAAGAAGAGTTGGCTTAACATCAGCTCCGTGGCACCCAGCAGCTCCGTGGATGGGAATTCTGCTATTGGCTCCTACGTGCCCATGTGCACAGAGACAAATGTAGAAGGCAATTCTCTGCAGCATTGCTTCTTGAAGTAGCAAAAGACTGTCCCCCAAGAGAGACTGGGTCACCATATGAGCAGATAGCCTTACCATGGAGTACTATACAACAGTGAAAAAGAAGCCAACCTAGAAATACAGAATGCACTTCAAATGGAGATGTTACTTGCAGGAAATGTAAATAGGATGTTATTGATTATGTTTTAAGAAATGGGGTTGATAGGAGTCAAACATGCTTGGAGCAGGCAGAGACTATTTGGAGAAGGATATATAAGGAACCCCTGCCATCGCTTGCCAGGATGGAGAACTAGGGAGGCTGGCTCATCTGATGGCTCTCCTTGGTGTCCCCACAGGATGAAGTTGAGTTTGGCTACATAGAGGCCCCCCACAAAGGCTTCCCCGTGGTATTGGACTCCCCCCGAGATGGAAACCTGAAGGACTTCCCAGTGAAGCAGCTTCTGGTGAGATGCTGAGGGCCACCTCAGGGTAGGGAGTTGGGGAAATGATCCTGGGGACTCTTACAGGGCAGAGTGGGCAGGAGACCTGGAGGCACCCTTGACAAGTTAGTCTGTTGCCCAACACCTCCATCTTCTCATCTGCAGAATGGGTCAGTTGGGATAGTGACCTCCACGGTCCTTTCCTTGGAGAGTTTTCTCAGAGGAGAGCATGACACTACCCCACGGCCTGGCACACCACAGGTGCTCAATAAATGTACCATTGTTATCAGTTTCACCCACTTTGGAAGGCAGGAATGATAAGCACCCTGACAAGACTTCTCAATCCCCTGGGTAAAAAATTTACTCATAGGGGAGTTTTCTCATAGGAAATGGGAACTTATGGGAAAGGGGCAGCTCCTGCCCTTGCCCCTGCCCCACCCCCACCTTGCAGAAAAATCAGTTTCAAAGAGGAAAGTTAGAGTTAAGCCATTGTCAAAAATTATGGTTCCAACTTCAAAGCTCCCTGAAGCTGCAGGGCTTTGAAGTTGGAACCATAATCAGTCTGTGGGTTTGTTTTTTTTTTTAAGCAATCCAACCCCCTGATTCTAGAAGCCATTACCACTCCCACTGATGCCCTTAGCCACTGATGGAGTGAGGGCAGAACTAAAACCTCCTTCTTTTGTCCTCACCTTCACCTTGAACAGGCAGGGGAGGCGAGGACAGAGCACGGAGTAAAGACTGGGATAGATCAGGGGCTCTTCCCAAGGTCGCACGCACATGGGACAGCTTCCGCTAGAGTCAGAAACATTCACAGGCTCCCCTCTACTTCTTGAGAACTTAACCTAGGGCCCTCACCACAGGGAGATGGTGCTAGAGCCTGGCCTGGCATCTTGTCCCACTCCTTGACCTGAGGCAAGCAGCTGGACCTCGTCAAGCCTCAGTTTGCTCATCTGTAAATGGGGCTAGAAATGGCATTCCTCTCACAGAATCATTGTGAAGATTGAAGGCACCTAGAAGGCGTCCTCCTACTCCTAATAGAATGCTCATTATTAGCTGCCCTTACGGTTGTCATCCCACAGCCCTGGACATTGTCCTTGGTGAGGACTGTCTGCTTCTTCCCACACTGGAGGGGTAGAGTCAAGCTGGTCTTCAGCAGCAGTGGCCACAAGCCTGAGAACCACGGCCTCCCAGCTCCTGCTCTCACGGTCTGCCCAGGGTTGTCACCTGCCTTCAATGTTCCAGGCTGGCTTGGTGCCAAGGTCCACGGCTGCATTGTTCCTGGGGACCTGGGCCAAGCCCGGCTTTGTGCTCCATGCCTGCCTGCCTACGTGTGCCCCAAAGCCCAGCTGCCCCAGCTTCCGGCAACACACACTTTACCATCTGGGGCTCCTGCGTGAGAAAGCGCTAAGCTGTAGCCATCCACGCCACTGGGCATGGCTGTCCCTTGAGCCTCTCAGCTGGGCGAGGATAAGGCACATCTTCCCACCCCAGGGGATTTTTTTTACCAAGAAGTTTTGTCAGGCAAGCTTCGTTCCAGCCCCAGTACAAGTTCCCAAGCAAGGGCTCTACTGTTTCATCAAAAAGTCCTGAAAGGAACCTTAAAATTCAAGGGTCCCTGGGGTTATATTATGCACCAGCTCTCATTTCTTGGAGCTCTGTTTGAAAAAGGATTCTGAGGCTGTCTCTGGGCTCAGGGGAGAGGAATGGGTTGGGACGGTCTATATGTTACATATCTGCCATACCTGCGTGAATCAGTCAGATGTTCCTAGGTAAGGCTGCGAGGACAAACAACCCCCAAACTGTAGGGGCTGACAACAGCAGAGGTCCATTTCTTGCCTGCATCTTGCACTGATGTCTGGTTGGTCTTCTGCAGCCCGGCTTCCGAGTGCCTTCCCCATTCCAGAGCCCAGGCTGCAAGTGCAGTGCTAGCCTGGGAAACACTGTTCTCCTAGCACAAGGAGCAGAGAATGATTTGGTCTTATGGCTTCTGCTCTGAACGGGCATGCGTCACTTTGGCTCACATTTCACTGGCCAAAGCCAGTCACGTGACTGAGTCCAACACTGGGTGCGGAATTCTGTTCCTTCCGCCAGGAGATACCGCCATGCATACCAGCTATGGCTCAGGATGCAAAAATCCTCTTCCCGGGGAGAAGGCAGCAAGTCTCTGGGAACAACAATAGAACCTACAGGTCTCCCTCTTTTACAGATGGGGAATCTGGCTCCTTGTACGGATGGGGAAACTGAGGGTCAGATAAATAAAGAGATAAACAGGGATGTCAAGGGCACAAAATGAGAACCAGCCCTGAAGTCACCAGTGTGTCTCTGTGTCCAGAAACAGAGGTGCATGATGAGACCCAGTGCACACACGCACTGATACATACTTATATACTATCGGGCAGGCCCACCCTCACGCCAGCCTGCCCACAAACTCAGCCTCCCTGTGTCTTACCCCCTGCTCTTCAGTGGGACTGAGAAGACCCCTAGAAACCAAGTGCCCAAATAGTGCCAGCCCAAAGATAGTGAAACAGTAGTCATCAGTGGCTAGCTGAGCTGGGGTTAAGGACCTCTCGCTACAGGAGACTAATGATGGGTGTGTGCTCCCTGCCCAGGGCCCAGATTTCGGCTACGTGACCCGGGAGCCCCTCTTCGAGCCTGTCACCAGCCTTGATTCCTTTGGGAACCTGGAGGTCAGTCCACCAGTGACTGTGAACGGCAAGGCCTACCCCCTGGGCCGGATTCTCATCGGGAGCAGCTTTCCTCTGTAAGAGAGATGAGGGTGGGGCTCAGGGGGTTGGGGGAGTGGGGAGATGTTACTCTTTCTTCTCTTTAGGAGTAGCCTGGGCTGTTCACACGTGGAGAGATTATCTGGGAGAATGAACCCCTTCCACGACTCTTAGAAATAAAACCAAGTTAGCCTTTATATCTTAGTATGACTTAGGATCTAATATAAAGCTAAATAGCTCTTCCCAAAATGGGAGGTTGTATAATGAGATTATAAACCAGGAAAGGAAGGGATGAAGAAGTCCATAAAAGGTAACTGAATGAGGCTGAGTGGGAAGGTAGCAACAAGTCCTTGGGGTTGCCAATACACCAAAGAGGGATGAGAAGACATGGCCCTGCCCCAAAGTATGAGTACTTGGCTCTTGGGCCTGTCCACAACACTGTCACTCCCTCCCCAGGTGACCCACTTCCCAATAAAAAGGCAGATTCTTCTTTGGTCAGGACAGTCACTACGAAGACTGAATACTGTGGGTCCTCATTTCACAAAAGGGCTGCCAGCAACCTGCATACATGGGATCAGCCAGGATTTGGGCACCTGTGAGCTACAACGGGGGATGCTCTACCTTCTGGGAGGAGGCCAGTGCCCGTTTGCCCACCTCCTCTCCTCCCTCCACTCAATAGTCAATCATCCATTCCTCAGGTATTTTCCATGCCCTAGCCAAGTGCCAAGTGCAAGCCATGGCATTCTAAACCTGAAGTCCAGCCCCCACCTTCAAGGAAATAGTGGAGATCACAGACATGAAACAGTCGGGGGCAGAGGGATGACCATATACAGTAATAGAAAGAATGATAGGGAGCTGGGGAACCCAAAGAGGGGTCCCTAACCCCTTTAGGGAGTCCAGAGAGGGCTCCTTAGAGACAAATATTTATTGAGGGCCTTCTCTGTCAGGCACTGCTCTGGGCTCTAGGGATACATCAGTGACCCAGGCAGGCAAAGCCCCAGATCTTGGGAAATTTTCAATCACGGTGGGAGGAGTACAAAAAAATCAACACAGAAGCCAGCAAATGAGACGCTTCTAGATGCTAATAAGTTGCAATGAAGAAGGTAAAATAGGGTTCCATGGCAAAGAGTGATGGGGCAGGTGCACTTTAGCTTTTGTGGTTTTAAGGAAATGACTTGGGAATCGAGGCTTGAATGAGAAGGGAGCAGCCATGGGAAGATCAGAGGGAAAGGCATTTCATATAGACGGAACAGCGAGGGCAAAGACTTTGAAGGGCTAGCTAACACGTAGGAAGTAGAACAAGGGGGAAGGCAGGGAGAGGAAGTAGCAGGTCCAGGCAGGGACCAAATCAGAGAGGAATTTCTTGGCCACTGGGAGGGCCTTGAGTAATAGTCTAAGGGCACTAGGGAGATCGAAGACCTCAGAGAGTCCAAAAGTCAGGAAGGGCTTCCTGGAGGAGGTGTCACTTGAACTGATTAAAGATGGAAGTTAAGTAGAAGTTAATGTAACAAAGAGGCACACGGGCTCGGGCAGATTTTGGAACCATACCTGTGCCCTAGCCCCCTCCAGCAGTCCAGGCAGGGCCACTGAGCACAGAAGATGGTCTCTTTATGTCAACTGACACCCTCAGTATCTGAAAAAGCTGAAGGCTGGGCTCCATACCATTCATGCAGACCATGGCTCCAGCTAATGCCTCCTTCTTTCCCCTTGAGCTCAAATGCCTTCTTGCCTGCACCAGGGTCTCTCAGCCCTGTGGTTCAGGCTCCTTCCCCTGACTTTTGCTGATGCCACCTAGGATACAGGCTGGGCTGCGGAGGCTGAACTTCTGCAGGCCCTCTGGTGAGGCAGGCGCAGGGGGAGATCTGAAGAGCGGCCCCCTCCCCACCCCTACCCCCAGGTCCGGCGGTCGGAGGATGACCAAGGTGGTGCGGGACTTCCTGCAGGCCCAGCAGGTGCAGGCGCCCGTGGAACTCTACTCGGACTGGCTGACCGTGGGCCACGTGGACGAGTTCATGACCTTCGTCCCCATCCCGGGCAAAAAGGTGAGCTAGTCCCTGAGTCTAGAGTGAATAGGATGATGGCGAACCCATGTACTACCAGCTCTTGTCATCAGGGGCCAGGATCTACAGGTAGTGGACCACATGCATAAAGGAAGAAGGAAGTAGGCTCAAGTTGGTTTACCCGTTGTCGCTGTGGCGGGTAAATGTTTAATCCAATATACCAAAATACTAGCATTGCAGCAAGTCATCAATGTACAAATATAAATGAGAGATTTTACGTTCTTTGATCCATACCAAGTCTTCAAAATCTGGTGCGTATTTTACTCTTAACCACACATCTCAATTCAGATTAGCCACAATTCCGGAGTCCAATAATCACGGGGCTCATGGCTACTGTATTTGCTGTGATGCCCTAGAGAGCTCTGGGGTATGGGCTTGGGGCTTTTTCATTTTCTGACGTGAAAGAAATGGCTGCAACTTCATACCCTGGAAATGTCGTGTAAATGGCCTGTCCTCTTAGCCCCTTGGAGACGCAGTTCCGCCCTGTCCGAAGACATTCTGGACTCTGAGCTTTGACACGATGTCATTGCTGAGGTGGAGGAATTTCTACAGCAGGAAGGGAGAAAAGTACTCCCCCAAAAGAGAGAAAACCCAGCCAGGCCTCCTTGCCCCGCAACACAGGGAGGCCTGAGACAACAGGCAGACAGGGCTCCGAGTCCCTGGTCCCTTCCCTGCTGCTGACACGGTCCCTCTGGACATCCTCTCGCAGGAATTCCGAATGCTAATGGCCAGTACCGCAGCCTGCTACAAGCTCTTTCGAGAGAAGCAGAAGGAGGGCCATGGGGAGGCCATCATGTTCAAAGGTGAGTGCCCGTGGGACCTTGGCAGGGGGTGGATAGCTGAGCCCCCAGAGGGATGCTCGGGAGGATGGGGCTCTGGAGGATGCTTTGCCCCTAAGCATCCAGCTCCCCTTCCCTGGGTTCCTGGCCCACTCCGGCCTGTGAGCTCACCGTGGTGGGAAGCAGCAGTGGCCTCTAGTGACCCTCGCCATGGTCAGCCGGGTTATCGAGCCACCTACCACTCCTCATTATCAGCAGCAGTGCCAAATGCTTCTCCAGGACCCAATGGCACCAGACACAAGAGAGTTAATTGACATGTGATCTGTATTCAAGGAGCTTGAAAAGGAGATAGAGAAAAACAGACACAACGCAGTTTAGGTACAGGAAGAAAAGTGAGCGGACATAGACATGATCTAGAAGCAGACATCACCACCGTCAGTCCCAGAGTGAGAAATTACCTGCTTTGTGCAGACATTCCCTTCACTGGGCCAGATGTAGACGGGGATTAGGTGAGCTCTTAAATGAATCACGGAAAGAGGGGAAGCTGATCAGACGCAGACGGTGAGCCAGGTTAGAGAGGCCGTGACAATTTCTTCCTTACATGTTTTTCTTAAATTACTTCATGTCACTTTTCAGGTTGGTATCTCCAACCTGCCTACTCCCAAAAGTCCCATTACTAAGGCTGGCTGATACTTAATACAACCCTGCCTGCTGGATCCGAAGGTAGTGTTCCTGATAGTTACTGGTGTCTAGAGCAGATGAGGTCAGTTTAAGCCCTCTGTCCTTTTTTGATTCCCCACCGATGGGAAGTCTTCTCTTTGGATTAGCAGGCATGCGTCTGGATTTTCTGGAGGCTCCTTTATATATTAAACATACTCTAAAGCTACGCATAGGATATAGAAACCATTCTCTTTGTAGAGATAGGTCCAAGTGGGGTGTGGAGACGGTGCAGGAACAGCAGGGGCGTGACAGCCCCAATCTCTTTGCCACTGACACCCTGCAGGACTGGGAAGGGCAATGGGCCAGCAAACTCTTTCCAGATCAGGCAAAATGGAAAAAAAGAAGGAGGAGGTAGAAGAGGAGGAAGGGGAGAAGGAGAAGAATTATGATTAATGGCTTAGGCTCTGAAATCCGACTGTCTGGTCTGCACGTGGGCTCTGCTACTAGCTGTAAGACCTTGGACAAGTCACTGAACTTCTCTGTGCCTCCGTTTACCCCTCTTTAATGCTAGCAGCTACCTCATAGAAATGTAGGGATGATTCCTGAGTTAATCCCTGTAAAATATCTAGAAGAGTGCCTGTCACACAGTAGGGGCTGGATGAGGGTTAGGAATTGCTAATCAGACCAAAAGCCAGGTGTGGACCAGGAGGCAGGTGCAGCAGCGACCAGGGCAGGGGCTGAGCATGAGGCAGTTCTGGAAAACAGGAAGGGTGACCTCAGGGTACCTGCTCTGCCTCCCTCCCCCTGGTCAGCTGCTTGTCCTTCGAAGCAGGCTCCTGGTGAGAGGCCCAGGTATTTGTGCTACGCCACCCTCTGGCCAGAAAGAGAGCAAGACGCCACCACCTGGTCTCTGGCCCAAGCAACATAGCCGCCCTGGCAGAGGGGCCTGGGTTCCCGGGGCCGGCCCTCCTGAGTCTCAGCCTGTCCTAGCTCCATCTCCCTCCTCCCCGCAGTTAGCCCAAAACCTGGGGGCTTGATAGAGGGGAGAATGCAGGCTGGGTACCTGAGGCTAGACTGTCCCCTGTGACCTCTGACTTCCACAGGCCTGGGCGGCATGAGCAGCAAGCGAATCACCATCAACAAGATTCTATCCAATGAGAGCCTCGTGCAAGAAAACCTGTACTTCCAGGTAAGAGCAGAACAGGGGGCCCTGGGAGGGATGGGGTTGTGCCCGGTGACACCGCTCACATCCTCATGGCTTCTAGAGGGAATGACCAAGGGGTCAGGGCACATGACAGAGGGAAGGGCCTCCATGAGCATTCGATCCAGCCTCCCTCCACCACCCCCGTGTAAAGCCGGGAGCTAAACGGAGGGGCAAAGGCAGGGTGTGCAGTTCAACAGAGGTCAGAAGCAGCCAGGAGACCAGGGAAGGAGAGCATAGCAGGCTGTGCCAAAGAGCCAAGGGCTCTGTAAGGCTAGAGCCCGAGACATCTGGGGGAGACACAGCCCTTTAAACTATGATGTGACTCAGCCAGTGAAGCATCCGACTCTTGATTTCAGCTCGGGTCTTGATCTCAGGGTCATGAGTTCAAGCCCCACATGGGGCTCCATGCCCAGCATGGAGTCTACTTAAAAAATAAATTAATTAGGGGCACCTGGGTGGTTCAGTCGTTAAGAGTCTGCCTTCAGGGGCGCCTGGGTGGCTCAGTGGGTTAAGCCTCTGCCTTCAGCCCAGGTCATGATCCCAGGGTCCTGGGATTGAGCCCCACTTCCGGCTCTCTGATCAGCGGGGAGCCTGCTTCTACCCCCCCTTCTCTCTGCCTGCCTCTCTGCCTACTTGTGATCTCTGTCTGTCAAATAAATAACTAAAATCTTAAAAAAAAAAAAAAAAAAAGAGTCTGCCTTCGGCTCAGGTCATGATCCCAGTGTTCTGGGGTTGAGCCCTGCATCAGGCTCCTTGCTCAGCGGGGAGTCTGCTTCTCCTTCTCCCTCTGCCTACTTATGCTCGATCTCTCTCTCACTCTCTCTCTCTGTCAAGTAAATAAATTTTTAAAAATTAATTAAAATAAAATAAAATAATAAAATATGACGCAAGCTACAGACCTGCCCTCTAGAAAAATTAGGTGTCGGTATATGCCCTGGATTTTTATTTATTTTAGGGGATCAGAGTCTCCAGGAGTTTGCCATGAACAGATCCCACCTTCTGAGTCCCTGTCCCATTTCTCTCTAACAGCATGATTTCTGTGATCTTCTGTCCTGCTCTCTCTGTTACCCCTGTCACCGGACCCTGATGGGAGGGGCACTGGAGAGGTGGCGGGGGGCGAGGTGAGCACTGGAAACCTCTCTGGCGTGCTGGGGCCCAGGGTCTGCTGCTGCGGGAGACAGGAGCAGGGTGGACAAAGCGACAGGAGTGTCGTCTCACTCGCCCGCTCTCCCTCCTCTCTCCCCCAGCGTTGCCTGGACTGGAACCGTGACATCCTCAAGAAGGAGCTGGGGCTGACGGAGCAGGACATCATCGATCTGCCCGCCCTGTTCAAGATGGACGAAGGCCACCAGGCCAGAGCTTTCTTCCCAAACATGGTGAGGCACTCGGGACCCCAGACTTCATCCAGGCCGGTGAGGGGCAGCCCGATCAGAGGGACCCACCAGCTGAGGTTGTTCCCTCAGAGGCCCAGGTGCCCGTCCCGGCTGAACTTCTGTGCGTCCTCGCCCACCCACCCCAGGCCCCTCGTCCTCTCTGGGCTGCATTCCCCCCTAGGAGTGAGACGCTCATCCTAGCTGCCTCCCTGGGGCCCTGGGAAATCCTTTCCCTTAGCATATATCAAAGTGCTTTCTAAGTTAAAAAGGCCTTCACAGAGAGGAAGGATGCTTTTCATCCTAGGGGAGAGTCTTCTGTGAGACGGGGGCGGTTAGAACACACGCGCGGGTACACACTTGCACGCACGCACACACCGATACGGACACGTATAACCACGTGCAGGTACCGGGACTCAGCACACATGCAGAGGTAGGTCGCCTGGTTTTCCGCTTCAGCTCTACCATGTAGCAGCCGCTTGGCCCCCTCTGTGCCTCGGTTTTCTCACTGTAAAATGGGGATGATCGCAACATCTACGTCACAGGAGAGTTAGGAGTGCCCAAGAGCTTGGAACAGGACCCCCGAGAGTAGTCGGTGCTCATTAAACGGGAGCTGTTGCCCACGCCCCATCACAGGTGAACATGATTGTGCTGGACAAGGACCTGGGCATCCCTAAGCCGTTCGGGCCCCAGGTGGAGGAGGTATGCTGCCTGGAGACGCACGTGCGCTCCCTGCTGGAGCCCCTGGGCCTCTGCTGCACCTTCGTGGACGACATCTCGGCCTACCACAAGTTTCTGGGGGAGGTGCACTGTGGCACCAACGTCCGCAGGAAGCCCTTCTCCTTCAAGTGGTGGCACATGGTGCCCTGAGCGGCCGGGGCGGGGGCTGTGCTGTGCGGGTCTCAGCCCGTCAGTAACCAAGATTGTGGTGGGACCAGCCCTCGTGGTTCTTATGATTGCAAGATGTTCTTCAGCAATAACGATCAGGAAACTTTGAGGGGGGCGGGGGTGGAGAAAAGGATGATTATTTCCAGGACCTGGAAATTGCATGGCACAACTGGGGCCACACAGCCAAGTCGCAGGGAGAGAGAGACAGCCCAAGCCTGGGGTTCTGCTTTTTGGGCAGTGGAGGGTCGGGGCCGGGGGTTTTGCAGCATCGGCAGGGAGTGGGGGATGAGGAAAATCGAGGGGCTCAAATGGTCAGCTTTAGAAACCAGCCAAGATTTCTAAAACGAAGGAGCCTGGGGCAAGAGGAAGCCTGGTGTTTTATCTAGTCCTGTGGCTGGCAACAAACATGCTTATTGGAGATGGCTTTCTTTGAAGCGGTTACCTCCCAATCAAAGCCCAAGTCAGGCACTTGCATTACCAAAAAGAGAAAACACACACAGCCGGGGCCTTGGCACCTCCCTCCTTCCTTCTCTAGACCCCTGGAACCGCCCCCCAAAGCTTCCCCCTGCCTGCCGAGGACTTGACAAGGACCGGACTGTCCCCACCAGGCCTCCAGGAAAGGGGAAGGGACCTGGGACATCTGTGCCTTGCCATCTCTCAGAAGGGCCCCAGCGTCCACCAAAGTCACCCCCGATGAACCTCAACTTGATACTTCCTGAAAAGAGCTGTGCCTTTGGCCAGCCTCTGTATAGCCCTGACACGAAAAACCAAGAAACAAAAACTCTGTACCCAAACCATTCCCCAAAGAGTGCTTAGTCTCTTGTCCAAAATTGAAGGAGGGGAGAAGGGAAGAGGGTTCTGGAAGCTCTGGGATCACCAGCTCTGGCAGCCATGCTCTGAAGGTCAAGGTCGATCCCATGGAAAGGGACCCTGGGACCCCCAGATGTACTTTGAACTGCCGTCATCATTTCAAGTTTCCCACTCCCTTGGAGTGTGCAGAGGGCTGCCTTCAATTATTCATTCCTTCCCGGCCTCTCTCAGACCCCCTTGGCTTCCTCTCTGCAGGGTAGAACATCCCTGACTAGCTTCCCCATTCCCTGAGGGTCCAATAATTTAGCTTAGAACCTTCCCCAGAAGTGGATTTTCTCAGACCTCTCCATTTCCAAGATGCTCCTTATACCTCATCTTTCTGATGGACACTGGCTCTCCCAAACGCTTGTGAGGCTCCCCCCAGACCAGCATCCTTGAACCTGAGAGTGCCGTGGGTATAGATGCCTGGGCTCAGCCTTATCCTTCTCCTGCCTGGTTCTCCATTCCCTGGGCAATCCCTGGCCTCCCTCCTCCCATGCCTCCACTTCCTATTCCCAATCCTATCCCTCCAAGCAGCTAGATGGGGACTGGTTCGCCACCAGCCAGGCTCAGACCTGCCCCAGGTTATAATTAAAGACCCGCCAGTTCTCCCCAGACCTGAGACCCGACATCTAAGGACCTGGGCTGGCCCCCAGCCCAACGGCCATTTCTGGACCAGCAGGTGGCCTTAGACACAGACTGTCTATGCCATGGAAGTTCACCAGCACATTTGCTGAATATCCTCTCATCTGCACATAACCAGATTAATTCCCTGGCTCCAACCCAGAAGACTCAGTTTCCAATAAAAAAAAAAAAGTTCCTTGAGGGCCAGCTGATGTCGGGAGAATAAGTGAATTATAATCCCACTTTGTAAAGAACCAATTTATAGCCAATTAGACTGTTATAAATTTGTATTCTTGCGAGAACAGGATTTTCTTCTTGGGTTATTTCATTCATGCATTCAGCAGATGTTTCTTGTATGTCTACTAAGGGCCAGGCACAGTGCTGGGCTCTGAGGATGTGGTGGTCCCTAGGAGGCTGGACCTGGTCCCTGCCTCCTGGAGCCAGTCAGTTCTCAACATGCCGTGTCCAAATCTAAATGGCCAACATTTGCCCTTTCAGTGATATGCTCTTCCAAAGTGGGAACCCGCTATATTCAGGAAATGCCCGGGGCACAGACCTTCCTGCAAGTCACAATTTTGGATGAAGGTAGAGGGTTCTTTTCCAACCAGACCTCCTTTCCCACCCAGCTGGGCCAATACCCACCCGACAGATCAGACCCCAGAGCCTTTAGAAGCTGTTGTGCCCCTGCCTTTGGGGGCCACAGCCCCAGACTTCTGCAACCCCAGAGCTGAAAACACCAAGTGCCTATTCGAAGGTGTCCATCTGGAGACTTAGAGTTTGTCGTGTGTGTGTTTGTGTGTGTGTGTGTTTGGTTAATGTGGGGTTTGGGGTTTTCTTTCATTTTTTTTTCTAGCCTACCTTTAAGGGGAAGTGAGCATCTCCCATGTGGAGACAGTGTGTGTTTATAAATTTTTCTAAAACTCTCCCCATCGGTAAGTTGGTAATTTCTGATGATTCTGGAGCCCCCCGGACTCAAACACCCATTCCCATCTTGCTTGCCCCTCCTACCCCGTGTGACTACCCGCAGCGTGCACAGCTCCCCCAGTCCCCATGAACTCATCGCTCTTCCCCATCCCCAACTTTCTATAAATGTAGACCTAAGATACAGTTCTGTGTTGCAAAACTCAGCTAAGTTCCTGTTTCGATCTTTATTTTGAAATATTTTATGTAAGAAGGAAGGGGAGGTACCGTGAAGATGGCAAGAAGCAGGGAAGTTTCAACTTTCTAGACGAGAGGCCATGACGGAGATCGAAAGATGTTTGGGGAAGAGCCTAATTAAATAGCAATAAAATAAACCATCAGAAGGGAAGTCATGTGTTGGTGTGATGTTCATTGTTGCCTCAGGGACACGGCCTGGAGTGAAGCAGGCCAGACAGGAACACTCTTCTGGACTTGTAGCCCCTGCTCTTTTGGGCACAAGGTCAGGGCTTAGCAAAGGTATCTCAAGGGTTTGGAATCCCCCACACATTCAGTGGATGTGTATTCCATGGCCACCCCCAAGGTCAAGACCAATACCCACAATAAAGTCTGGCTGTGTTTTTCTGGTGGTGTTCTGCAGAAGGAGATCCTGAAATGAGCAACTGAGAACAGGTGATTTGTTATTTATTAAGTGCCTCCAAGAAAAACCAGGAAGGGAGTGAATGGAACAGGACAGGGAAAGGGAAGAAGCCAGATGAGAATGTGACTTGAGGTGTAGCCTCAGCCTGATCACTGGAAAGCCCTGGAGCATAAATGTAGCTCGGAGCTGTCCCACCTGGAGGCAGAGTTTTGTACACCTGCTCTAGTCAGTCGTTGGCTATGGGGACTTTGGCTCTCTGAATGGGCAAGGGGGCACCAGTAGCAATCAGAGCTGCAGTTAGCAGCAAATTCATGGGAGCTGGGGTATGGGCTCACAACCAGAAGAGGATCTGGTAGGGCACCAAGAGTGTCTACCACTCTGGACCATATCATGTTCTTATCATAGGAATTGTTACATGAGGACATTTGTGATTTGACTCCTGGTATAAAAATCCATACTACATAGCCATGGTCTAACAGAGTTTGTGAACAAACTCTCCGAATCCCTAAAAATAAAGCCACCTAGTTACTTCCCAAGCCTGGAAACCACTCCTGAGCTCTTTGGGATGGACCTGGGGGCTTCTTGTCCCTCAGCCCCATCTTGGACTTCTGGACTGGTGTTTTGTTGAAGCTATCTTAAGGAGCAACTGCAAAATGAAAATCACTAGTTCTCATACTCCCAGATTTAACCTGTGGGTCCAGCTGTCTGAGATCACTCTTCCCTTTTATACCCAACTAAGGTGGCCCAAGCCACAGCAATGGCAATCTTCATCAGGGTTTCCACATCCACCAATTTCTGAGACTCCCCAAGGGATGCTGGTGTGTTAAACCCAGCCCTGGTGGTGCTTTCATATCTTGGCCACTCACCTACCTCAGGATGGCTGGAAGTCACCCTGAGACTTCTAGACTTCTAGAACAGCACTTTCCAACAAAAATGTAATGCAAGCTATGCATGTAATTTTAAATTTTCTACTTATAGGACATCCTCATTCAGATTAGCCACAAGGAGCACCCATGTTTGAAAGCACAGTTCTAGAATCTTCTCTGCCAGGCTGAGCCCAATTATAAGAGTAGGCGCATTCCTTAAGTCCCCAGAGTCCAGCTAGTCTGACTGCAATGGCTAACAGAAGTTTATTATTATAATACCAAAAAGAGAAGCATAAAATAGACATCAGCCATCCCTGGCCCCAGTGTGCAGAGCCTTGCTCCTCCAGAAGGTCCTCTTGCCTGAGCTGTGGCTGCTGCCATGTTACCAGAACTGGCCTTGCCCTCAGCAAGGGGAGTACCTTTAGGCAGGCCACCTCTGCCCACTGTCAAGATGAGAATCCCCATCAGCCCCATGGAAAATAGAACAGCCTCACTTCCACAACTCGACCCTGCATCTTCCTGCGAGACGTTGTCTACAGGTCCCGGTTGAGTGGAGTCAAGGTCCCCATTATCTCAGCACCTTCATTCCTGATGGGACCTGATCCATACCTCAGTAGAGCCAAGAGCTTGTGGAAGTGGGATTCCTCCCCCAAAATAAAAAGAGCAGCCAGGGATGAATTCTGCCTGCCCCGGGGGGACGTATCCAGGATCCTCACCCAAGCGGCGTCAGGTCCAGGGGACTGAGGGCAATGTTTTTGGTAACTCAATACAGTGAGTGACATCAAATGACAGCACATGGTATCTCTTCCACCAGCTGGACAGCCAGAAGAAGGACATGCTCAGGCAGAAAGCTCAGCTCTGCGGCCTTGTCTCCAGGCTAGCTGTTGTGAGAAATCTGCCTTTCCATTTGAGCTTCACCTCTGGGCAGCCCAGGCTCCTTTTGAGCCCTGATGGCTGAGAAAGCAAAGGTCTGGGCTTCTCTAGCTAGTCTGGAATGAAAGTACCAGGTTCAGGTCAAGCCTGCTTGTGCCTTGGCCCCTCATGCTCTATAATCTAAGGCCCATTTTGTCCGTCGTGGGTATGCCTCCAGATGAATTTTATGGACCTGTCTCTGACTTGCATTCTGGAACTCTCCTTACATGCTATCCTGCTACTGGCAATGTTATAAGGGTTACTCTACTTACCTCCCGCAATTCCTAGCACATAGCGCTCAGCAAAGACCTTTTTTTTTTTTTAAGATTTTATTTATTTATTTATTTATTTATTTATTTATTTATTTATCTGAGAGAGAGACAGAGAGAGCAAACGCACGGGGAGGAGGAGCAGAGGCAGAGGGACAAGGAGACTCTGAGCTGAGCACAGAGTTCCACCCAGTGTTCGATCCCAGAACTCTGAGATCATGACCTGAGCTGAAATCAGGAGTCAGACGTCTAACAGACTGAGCCACCCAGGCACCCCAATTGCATTTTGAATGAAAGAAAGAAACGTCTGTTCGGCTAAGCAATGGAAGCAGAAAGATCAGCCCAACCACGTGGGAGGTATTAATAGCCACCATGTCTTAGACACTGACTACGTGCCAGGCACCTGCCTGCTTGAACTATGTGAAAAAGCCGTTTTGAAGGTCAAAATGATCAAATAGAGATGATTTCACATGATATTTCACGTTCCTCATCGCCTCTGATTCCCCCCCTACCACAGAGCCGCGAGGTTACTATCCCCACTTTACAGATAAGAAAACTGAGGCTCAGGGAGGAAGTGATTTGGCTCAAGTTTCCACAGCAGAAAGTAGTGGAACCAGGATTCCCACCAGGGTGACCTGACTCCAGAGCCCACACGCTGAACCTCTGCCCTGGACTACCCCGTCTGAGAAGCAGCTTCCTAACCCGAGTCCAATGGGTCATCAGCTCATTTATTCACAAATGTTTCTTTCACACCAGTCATTTCTTAGCGTG